CGTCAAGGCTTCCCAACAACCTATAATTCAGAGGGAAAATGTTCTAATTTAGAAAACACAAAAGAATGGGGGGGGGGACAAACCCAGTGAGAATGTCACTGACCGCCCAAGTAGCCATTTGGCCAGAGCAGACTTCTTCAGGAGGTCTCTGGCACTGTTACTCTCTCCACATGAAAAGTATTAGTCTTTTAGATTTGGCCTTCATTTTAAAATTAAATTTTGATTGTAATTATTCGGTCACACAAATTACAGACATTTCAATACACACTCATATCATATTCTTTTATATTTGCATCAATATTCTCAAAAATTCTATTACTATGTGTTAGCTATACAAAACCACTTAGCCATCTTTCCAGTCCTACCGATTCCTCCTCCCACACTGTTTCTCCTGGCTTGTATAAGGAGTTCTTCCTCTGCTCAGTTTTCTATGCATCCCTGTTTGTCCCAAGAGTCCCCTCCAGGGACTCCATTCACTGTTCTGCTCATTTGAATACATCAGCTCACCCATCGGTTTCCATTCCTCTCAGAGAAATTGCTTCTGTCTCTGTGGTCTCTCGACTCAGCTTGACCTACAGATCCCCAGCAAAGATCTTCCCTGGAGTCAGGGAGTCAATGACCGAAGGTTTGCATATCCCTATGGGTTTATCTTCATCTCTGACGGTTAGGCTGACAGACAGATTCTGTGTGGGAAATGAAAGGTTTGAAGGCTTTGATTATCCAGGCCAAGGTGTCTCCTGCAATATCTGATGGTGTTTTTATTCTCCACTATGGTGGTTTGAGTAAGAATGGCTCCCACCGGCTCACACACTTGGACGTTTGGTTTCCAGTTGGTGGAGTGTTTAGGGAAAGTTAACAAGCGTGGCTTTATTGGAGGAGGTGTGTTACTGGGGGTGGGCTTTGAGGTTCAAAAGCCCACACCATGCCCAGCTTCACTCTCTTGGTGCTTCCTGCCTGTGAATCAGGATGTAAGTTCTCAGCTACTGTGCTAGCTCCGTGCCTGCCTGCCTGCTCCCAGCCATGGTCGTACCCTCTAAAACTGTAAGCAAGACCATAATTAAGTATTTTCTCCTCTAAGTTGCCTTGGTCATGGTGTCTCTTCACAGCAATGAAGCGGTAACTAAGACATCAGTCCTTTCTAGGTAGCCTGTTGCGTCATTTTTCTCTTCGTTCCCTCAAACAAAATGTTAAGCTTTTCTTCGTGTAGAAGGATCTGAAACTTCGTGGAGATCTGCTGCGGTGAGGGCCATTTAAATGTCTCATCCATTCTCCTGGACGATTGCCCGTGTTTTAAAAACTTAGATCTTTCAATTTGGGGAAGTTTTTTGCCTTGAACAATTCCTGTGATACTTCCCTCCGATCTCTTTCTTTCCAGACCCGATAGCAATCAAATTCCCCGATTTTCAATCTCTGTTCTGTCCGTTCTTACTTCAGGTTTTGTTTTCCAAGGTTTCTAAAACTTTATTTGCAATCTCACTTTCAGAAGTTCTGTTTGGTTCTTTAATGCTTTTTCCCCCCTGTAGACTTCTATTCTGTTTTAAGAAATGTTTATCTCACCTCTTAAGCCTCTAAAAATATCTATCACAGGTTTTTTTTCTTTCATTAGATTTTATTCCATGGCTTCTTTCTTACTTTTAACCCCTTCTTTGGTTGCCTCTGTTTTTTGTTTTATTTTGATGATGATGATGTTGTCGAGGCAGGGTATTGCTATCTAGCATTGCTTGGCTTCCTACACCTGTGTGCAGTTCAGTCTGGCTCATACATCACTGCAAGCCTCCTGCTTTATCCTCTCAAGGGCTGGGGTTACAGGGATGTACCACCATGCCTGGCTCATGTTTTGGTTTTGATTTCAAACATCCCTCAAATTCGCAACACTCCTTGGCTTATTAAATGTGTGGCATCTGACGTGGCTGTGATGTTGGAAACCTGTGATCCCAACACTCATAGAGCTGAGATAGGAGGGTCACAAGTTCAAGACCAGCCTAAGCTACATAACTACATAATAGAGCATGAGAGACAGAGAACTGGGTAGATCTTCATGAGCTGTGAATCTGACTGCCCTCTAGGAACTTAGCAAAGGCAGAGTGGGAGGTGCCTGCCTTTCCACGAAAACTCTCCTTACAGCCTCAGGCTGTATCATTTCCCTCCTGTTTGGTTCATAATGGTAGGCATCCTCTCCAGCTCTGTAGGAGATGATTCCTCACTGAGGTGAAGCCTGATCTGGAAGGCCAGCTATTTCCTGCAGAGACCAGAACAGGCCTTCCAGCCCTACCTGGTCCTTCTTCCACAGCCCACCGTCTGGAGTACTGAGCATCTCTAAGGTCTGAATTGGTCAGAGTTCCTCAGAGCAGCTTGTATTTATCATTCTGGGTTTATGTCTGAAATGAAAAATCCTCTGTCATTCTGAAGGGGCTTTCAAGAAGGATGAGCTAAATGCGTGTTTAGTCAAGAGTCCTCCTATTTTCCACACAAAGACACATATTTATAATTTAAAGTTTTAATTATTTGTGTGTGTATGTGTATGCATGCACATACTCGTGTGTGTGTGTGTGTGTGTGTGTGTGTGTGTGTGTGTGTGTTGGTCTGTGTGTACTTGCAGATAGAGGCAGGCGTACAGTTTCTTCTCAGTTGCTCTCCACCTTAGGTTTTGAGTCAGGGTCTCTAGTTGAGCCTAGAGCTCATGGATTCAGCTTAGTCTGCTGGCCAGTGAGTCCCAGGGATGCTCCACTAACCTTGTGCTGGTTTTAGAAGCACAGGCATTTTACAGGTATGTTGAGGATCTAAACTCAACCCAAGCCATCTTCCCAGCACCAAATCAAGTGCAATTTCTGTGTGCACACAAGTCCCAGAGCCAGTGGTTCCCCAGCCAACACATTAGCATCAACTGGGAACATGTTAGAAATTCTAACCTTGACTCCCACCATAGACCTCCTGAACCAGACACTAAGGACAGTTGAGTAACCTGTTTGAGCAAGACCTTCAGGTAAAGCTGGAGATGGTAGCCAGAGTGGGACAGCCATGGCCACTGGTGATCAAAGGATTCTGAATGTTCCAGAAACATCACCTTGCTCCCAACCTCAGCTTTTCAAATTGAAACCCAACAAGGTGCCCAGCAGAGCGAAGGGGCTGTTTTAAGGTAGCCAGTTGTGTTAGGCTCCATCCTGCTGAGAGAACATCTGTGAGTTCAGATGCTCTTTCTTCTTCCACAGAACAGATGCCAGGAACACAGCTAACCCAGGCAGGGTGAGAAAAGAAAAGACAGTAGGGGGTACCAGGAAGAGGACAGTAACAGAGACCTATGCCTCTTCCATATCTTCCAACACCCACAGGCTGAGAAAGGAGCCTCCAGCATCCATAGTTTGGAGCCTCTCAATGGGACAGGAGGAGACTCGTTTCTTCACTTGACATTGTCCTCTGCCCATTTCACAAGCCCCTCCCCCTCTCGGGCTTGCCCTCAGGCTCTCTCTCTCTGCCTTTCCTATTCACTTGCGCGACTCCTCATCCTTCTCCTTCACCGCCTTGGCGATGGTCTTTCTATGTGCTCCCTTGGAACAGCCACAAGGATTCAGTTCTCACTGCTGGCAGAGGAAACTCCTGAGGCCCCGCTGCACCGGAGTTAATGTCCCTCTCTCCACCTCCCCCAGGTATGCCTTCACTGTCATTTACACCTTCGAGGCTCTGATAAAGATACTGGCAAGAGGGTTTTGTCTAAATGAGTTCACTTATCTTCGAGATCCCTGGAACTGGCTGGACTTCAGTGTCATTACCCTGGCGTGAGTATTTCCTTCAGCTAGACCGTGAGTTCCTGTAGGTTTGGAGGTGTAGAATTTGGGGGGCAGCATTCATGCTCATAATCTGGACTCCCTCCTCATCTCAATCCAGCTTTCTCGGGTGGAGTCTTATGGCCTGGATGTTGGAATACACAATTGGACTTGTCCTGTGCCCATGGGTACAAGCCAAATACTCAGCTCTGTGCTAATAACTGGCCAACACAGGTCAGAAGAGGCTCAGCATCAATCCTATCCACAAGAAACCGTGTCCAAGGAGGCAGGTTCAACAAGCCTGTGTGTTTGAAATCCAACTTTTGCCTCTTGAAATGGTTCTTTCTGAGCAAGATTGTAGATGGTTTTGTGGGCATCCATGCCAGTCTATAGGTGGTAACATCGCTGGAAATGCCTTGTCTGTCGTGGGTCTCCCAAGGCTCCTCCCCCTATAACTCCTGTTGAGTGTGCTGCATGCGCCCTGGAGCCTCTTCCCTGAGGAAAAGCCTTTTGGTTCTACAGGTACGTGGGTGCAGCGATAGACCTCCGAGGAATCTCAGGCCTGCGGACCTTCCGAGTTCTCAGAGCCCTGAAAACTGTTTCTGTGATCCCAGGTGAGCGACTTTAACCAGCCCATTTGCTCCAACAGAGACATTTTTCTTTTCTACAGCTTTTCTTCCATACGCACGCGAACACGCACATGCACGCATGTTCCAGGACAGGAACTGTTGACTATTAGCCTATTTAATAAAGAAACGGAGGCTTTAAGTATAGAAGAAACATAGGCAAGGGGTGATTCCTAGTAAGAGGCAAAGGAAGGTTGGTTCCTCAATGCTGCAGAGTTTATCTTCAGTGGTCACACAATCTGCCACACATGAAACTATGTGCATCACTCAGCTCCCGGTACAGGGTCTCACATGTGTGCTGCCAAAACAATTATTTTTCTACCAAAATGACACAGTTGGATCCTAGACTGTTACCCAGATCAGAACACTTTCTGTTGTCTGTGACACTGGGCCCCCATAGAATGTGATTTCCATTAACAAAGTTTATCCCTCCTCAAAGGCAGGAGCTTTGCAGCTGGCTGTCCTTGGCTCTGGTCTCTTCCTCAGATGTTCCAGTGAAAAGAGTAACTTCACAGCTGAACAGAGCTGGGAATACAGCTGGGACTCAATATAAATTTCCCAGTGCTGAGGTAGAACTCGGGGTCTTGCGCATGCTAGGCTAGGCAAGTACTTAACCACGGTGCTACATGCATCGCCAGACACCCAACGGGGGTTTTAGTTGAATCATGAGTGTCAATCATTGCTTACCCTTGAGATGATAAACAGATGTGTTGTCCAGACTTCAGCTGATTGGTTTTATAATGAGGATGACAGGTCCCTCCCACTTGCCTCTGTGGGCAATTGCAGGATGCAGAGAGGCTGGGCTTTGAACTGCCTGGGATATGCAAGGGTGTCACACCTGTGTGTAGTCATCAAGGAGGATGGCCAAGGTGTACACCTGTGCTCTGGGCAGCACATCACCATGTGGGAGCATACCTGTCCCCTTCCTACAGGACTTAAGGTCATCGTGGGAGCCCTGATCCACTCAGTGAGGAAGCTGGCCGACGTGACCATCCTCACAGTCTTCTGCCTGAGTGTCTTTGCCTTGGTGGGCCTCCAGCTCTTCAAGGGGAACCTTAAGAATAAATGCATCAAGAATGGCACAGATCTCCACAAAGCTGAGAATCTCTCATCCTCTCATCCTGAAGTGGCAGGTGAGTGGACGTTCTGGTGCAGTGACCAACACTGGTACCCTGGGACTGTGTGGCCATGGAGACACGGTGCAAAGCCCTGCACATCCCTGTAGCTATCCTGGCAGGGGAAAGTTTAACAAGCTCTAAGCAAGCCAGGTTTTCTGGGTCTGTACAGCTTCCAAGTGGCTCGGAAGGGTGTGTGGTTCCCGAGTGTCCTCTGAAGGCTTGTAGGTGAAGGAGCTGACCTCACTTAGACAGAAGTCAGGTAGTGTCCTGTTGGCCACCGAAGGCCTAGACTGGGGGCTTCAGAACACACCATGCGGCTTCATTTCTTCCTTTCCTTAGGAAACATCTTCAACAAGCCTGGTACTTCGGATCCCTTGTTATGTGGCAACGGGTCTGATGCTGGGTGAGTACGCATCCCACAACTTCACAGAGGTCCAACATCCTTTCTCCAGAGCATCCTTTGAGCAGAGACTGTAGAATCCCAAAGGAAACATATTAATGAATACTATAGACGTTGTCATCTTAAAACTCACGGAGAGGGAGCCATGAGCATGGACCAGCTGGCAAAATGCTTGTCGTGCAAGGCGAGGACCTGAGTGTGAATCCTGAGCACCCACATAGGAAGTTGGGCACATGAGTGCAGACCTGCAGCCACAGCACTGCAGGGTCTTGGGGCAGAGAGCTGGAGACAGGCAGAGCTCCAGAGCTTGTTGGACAACCATTTTAACTCAACCAATGAGTGTCAAGTTCAGTGAGAAACAGTGTCTCAAAAAATAAAGTGGAGAGCAACTGAGAAAGATACTTGGTGTTGAACCCTGCCCTTCACATACATGGACCCACACAACATATGACCACATACACACACACTCACACACTCACACATACATGTACAGACACTCATATTCTCACAGACAGTGAGTGTATTAGTCAGGTTCTGATATGTAATAAATGACTCCAGGATTTTATAACTTAACACAACAACCATCTAGCTTGTGGCCCAGTGCTTCAGCACTTGAGCATGGACCAGCAGGAGTTTGACTTCCCCTGTGAGCGGCCGTTGGATGTGCTGCAAGGTGTCTGGGCTCCATTATCTTGTATCCCCGCAGTCTGGCTTGAGCTGTCCCTGTGCAGACTTGGGATTCCGTAGGAAACCGTGAAAGTGTGGAAATCTTGATTTCACAAAGTGGCATTCTCTCTGTGTCCCCTCGACCAAAGGAAGTTACAAGTCAGTACAGTTCCAAGGACTGATGAAACAGACATCAGTGAAAAGAATGGCGGAGGTCACATCCCAAAGGACTGGGTACCAACAGGGAGGGAGGACAAGTAGTTATCTTCCAGAAGAAACAAATATGTTTGCATTAAAGGTCACATTTGAGCATCATAGCTCATTCCATTCTTGATTTCTTTTTTCTCTTTGTTTTCTTTCTCTCTCTCTTTCTTTCTTTCTTTCTTTTTTGTAACGGGAAGAAATACACGCATAACATTTTTTACAATTTCAAATTCTCACAGAGGTCAGGCACATAACAATAAATGAGTAGTGAGGGCCAGGAGGGAACCATGGCAACTGAGAGTTCATGCCCCATCCATCGGAGGGGCAGACAGCGCTCGGCCCAGCTGTTGGTTGTTATGTGAAACTCTGCTTCTAGCTCTGCTTGCTTAACAGAGGGAGATGGGAAATTTTGATTTTCATGTGTTAGCCCCTAGTCATAAATTTGGTTACAAGTTCCCCCAAAATACCTACCTATCTTGTTGGCCAGGCAGAATATTCTTGCAGGCTGAATCCAGAATATAACTCAGCTGTGTTTTGGTCTCTTTTGTATGTGCATAAAGATGTTGTGCTATAAAAATATATGTCATGTCAGGAGTCCCATCGACGGGATAAACACAATGGAAAAAGTAAGGCCAGATAGAAAGTCAGGGAGGACTTCCTGGAGGCAGTAATTGAGGCTGATGTTGAAGAACGGGCATGATACTTCACAGACAGGTGAACAGTGGTGCTTGGATGGAGGTGACTCCATGTGGAAGGCAGAAAGTAAGAAACTGAGGTAAAGGGGGAGGACCCTCCTCTCTGCCTCCTGCTTTGGCTGCTGAGGTAAAGAGAGAGCAAGAGAAGTCTGAGCAATAGATCAGAAAGGCTCATCCTTCCTTCCCACTTACATGGTTGATTGCCTGAAATATAACTGATGAGCGTGCGCTCCCCGAGTGCCCGTGTGCTCCCCGAGTGCTCATGCGCTCCCTGAGTGCCTGTTCGGAGACAAAGGGATTCACATGAGCGTAGTAACTGCATTTTCATTACTGTGGCCAAACACCTGAGGAGAAACACGCGTGGGGATAGCTTACGTGGGCTCACAGTTTAAGGGTATGGTTCATCGTGAGGAAGGCGAAGAGGCAGGAGCATGAGGCTGCCGGTCACTTGGCAACTACCCTGGGCAAAGACGGATAAACGATGGTGCTCAGCTTGCTTTCTCCTTTTTATCCAGCTGGGGGCCCTGGCCTTTATTCCAGCCTGTGGAATGGTGCCACCTACACTTAGGGTGAGTCTCCCCACCTCAGCTAACCAAACCTGGAAACTTCTTCAGAAAAACTCAGAGGTTTGTCTCCTAAGTAATTCTAGTTTCTGTTGAGGTGGCATTCAATATTAACCATCATGGTGAGACAGCCGTAACCGTCTCTAAGAACTATCTAGAAGAGTAAGCTTGGACACAGCTGAGGGGTAGAGACAGACAAGAGGACCTGATCAGTGCCAACTCTCCTAACCTCTTTATTCCCAAAGGTACTCAAGTCTTTGGCTCCAGAAAAGTGTCATTCAGACATCGGCTGTCGCTTTCCCTCTATTTAAATCAACACCTTGTGTTCTTCCCACATGGCGACTCCACTTTAGACTTCTAAAGCCTGTGGCTCCAGAGCAACCCACAGCTCTCCATGATAAATCTCTGGGTTCACCTGGGCCCCCATCTCAAGTACCAGAGAGGCAGACCTCCCATCAGGCCATTGCAGCCTAACAGTGGAGGAATGGACCCAGCTTGAGTAGGAAGAGGCCGGTTCGGAGCAGTAATGGACTGAGATCTGAGGGCGTCTGCTCAAAGGCTGGGGCCAGGGCTGGCTCAAGGCAAACTGGGGCCCTGAGGTCTAGGGTCTTGAGATACAGAGAGAGTACCAAAAGCACCTGATGACCTTTACTTGTTTTCATATAGACTCTTCCAGCTCTTCCTTTTGGTAGATTCCAAGGTGAATAACATCAGGAATTTTGTGTGTGTGCCTGTGTGTGTGAGAGAGAGAGTGGGGGTGGGGGGAGATTTGGCTAGCTGGCTGTTTGGTCAGCAAGGTATCCTCCTGTTTCAGCTGGTTTTCCCAACACTGCAACTTCAGGAATGTACAAACATAGTCAGCTTCTTATGTCAGTGCCAGGGGTCTTCAGGCAGGTCCTCAGGTCCTTTGTCACCTTGCGGCTAGCCCTCACAGCAGGAATTTATACATGCTCTTTGTGTGTAGTGTTTTGTGCACTGAAGAAGGTGTGAGAGGCCGTGGTACATGGATAACTGTCACCGTGGGAGCTGGTGGGAGGGGCGGCTGGCAGTCGATTTGTGGGACGGCAAGAGTGGACTCCGTGGAAGACAGAAACAAATGCATCCTCAGAGCTAATGAGGAACTTACCAGAAAGAAAACCTTCAAACATGCGAGTCTGAGGATTTGTAAGTCCTGGTGTAAGCCAACAGGGAGCTCCACACCACATAGAATCGAGCTGAGTCGAGGCTGTTGTCTTGCCTCTCCAGGTTACTCCTCTAGACAGGTGAAGTGAACAGAAGGACTGGCATCCTCAAGTTAGAGAGGAGGGAAACTCAGTCTCACACTAAATGTCCAACCAGTAAGCCGAAGGCTGAGCTCTGAACTCAGATCTGACTTCAAACTTGCCATGTTCTTACTGCCCCAAATTCTTACCTCGTTCTCAGTCAGCACGGCCATGTCAGTGGTGGCCTTGCTCCCAGTCAGCAAGGCTGCTCCATGATGGCCTTCTCTCCTCTTGCTACAGTCAGTGCCCTAGTGGTTATGTCTGCCGGAAAGCTTTTGGCAACCCGGATTTTAACTACACCAGCTTTGATTCCTTCGCATGGGCCTTCCTCTCACTGTTCCGTCTCATGACGCAGGACTCCTGGGAACGCCTGTACCAGCAGGTATCTCTGTTTCATTTGTTTGAGGTAGGATTTCACCATGTAGCCTTTGCTCACATGGAACTTGTGGTGATCCTCCTGCCTCTGATCCCCAGTGCAGGGATTACAGGCATGTACCACCATGATTGACTGTGCTAGCTGATTGCAATCTGCATGCCTTCATACAGTTGTGGCTGGAGACTGATGGGCCAGCTGCATGGCTCTTCTTATCCTGGAAGAGGTCTACGGGTCCCACGTACAGCTCTCTTTTCTTTCCCTTAAATCTCCAGACACTCCGGGCTTCAGGGAAAATGTACATGGTTTTTTTTGTGCTGGTCATCTTCCTTGGATCATTCTACCTGGTCAATTTGATCTTGGCTGTGGTCACCATGGCGTATGAGGAGCAGAACCAGGCAACAATTGCAGAAATCAAAGCCAAGGAAAAACAGTTCCAGGAAGCCCTCGAGGTGCTGCAGAAGGAACAGGAGGTGGGTGAAGCCAGCTACAGAGGACCTTCTGGGACAGGAGTCTTCCTTTACAAACTTCTATAGGAGCACGAATCATATTTCAGGGGCTGGCTCAGGTGCTGTCAGCAAAGTGCTTGCCATGCAAGGATAAAGACCTGAGTTCAATTCCCAGAACCCACCTTTTAAAAAGTAGTCAGGTGCATGCTTGTGATCCCAGTGCTGGAGAGGCAGAGTTGGGTGGTCACTGGAGGTCAGTCTTGTTGGTAAGTTTTGGGCCAGTGAGAGAACTTGTCACAGAAATAAACTAGACAGGTCTTGGGAAGTGACTCCCGAGGTTGACCTCTCTTCTATAAACATGAACACACACACACCGTACACACAAATGAATCTGAATGGGGGCGTTTTCGCCAAGTGATTTATTCAGGAGTCTTCAGGACACAGGGAGAACAAGCTAAGCATGTCAGGCAACGTGCAGAGCTAACCCACAAAGTGTTCTCAGCTAGATGTTAGCTGTTGCCCGATCCTGCTGGGGTTCTCTAGCAGTGACCTACCCCGGAGTTAGCCCTACTTAGAAGCAAGAGGACCAACTGATGGTGCTCCCATATCTGCCTCTGGAGCAGAAAGACGAAGGCACCTTCTCCACAACGTTGCATTGAGCATCAACTGTTAGACTCCACAGTGACTGAGGGCAAGCATCCTGGTCTGTTAGAAAGGGCCTAGGCGAGGTACCAGCACCTACCACAAGGGCTGAAGAAGGGAGGTGACCCCCGTTTCTGCCATGCCCAATTCCACCACTGCTTGTGTCCTAACCCTCAACCTTGGTCTGACATCCCTCATCTCCACGGCCATAGTGTAGGGATATACAAATACCAAGTTCAGTCAGATTGTTTCCTTTCCTCAGGTGCTGGCATCCCTGGGGATTGATACAACCTCGCTGCATTCCCACAGTGGATCACCCTTAGCTCCCAAAAATGCCAACGAGAGAAGGCCCAGGGTGAAATCAAGGATGTCGGAGGGCTCAACAGATGACAACAGATCACCCCAGTCCGACCCTTACAACCAGCGCAGGATGGTAAGACACACTTAGCTGGCTTGAAGGTTCACTCAGCTTTGCAGCTCCTTTAAAACATAAAGAGCTTGGGATCAGGGAGAGAGGAGGGGATTTGGTAACTCAGACAGACACCCCTCCTCATTGGTGGCCTAAGCTAGGACAGCAGCATTCCCGGGAAGGGGATTAATTTGTGGAGATCAAATTAAGACTGATAAGGAAATGGAAGTAGATGAAGGGCGACTCCTGGGCCCCAGGTTAGGACACTTATGTGAGCTGTGAGTTATTAGACAAGGCACTGGAGAAAGAGCCTGGATGTGTAGGGAAGGGAAGCCCCTTTGGGACATGCTGACCATGAGGATTCTATAGCTAAGGGTCTGTCTGCTTCCCTTCTTTCTTACCTCTTGCTTCTGACTCCACAGCTGAAAGCTGTCACGTGCTGTTGACACAGAAGACCCCAGGGCCTATCTCTGACACAGCCTAGCCTGGGAATGACTTGCTTGCTTCACATTACAGCCTGTAGCAGTCTGCCCCACAATGGTTACCATTAACTTCCGAGTCCAACTTTTCTCACCAATTTTCTTCCTCTTCCCTTTCCATCCCTGGAAAAGCCCATGTACCAAATAGCTCATTCCTGTAGGCCTCTACTTTCTTCTCTGCTGCTGAGAGAAACACCAGGGCCACAAGCAAAATGGGGAGGGCGGGGTTCACTCCGTCTTACAACTCCCAGCTCACAACCCATTGTTGAGGGAAGTGCAGTCAGGAACCCAAAGCAACCACCCGGAGGCAGGAACTGAAGTAGAAGCCATGAAAGAACGCTGCTTATCGCCTTTCTCTCTGGCTTATGTTCAGCCCCACAGTGGGCTGGATTATCCTACATCAATTAGCAATCAAGAAAATGCCCCCATAGACATGCCTACAGGTCAATCCCATAGAGCCAGTTCTTTAGCCTAGGTTTTCTCTTCCCAGGTGGGTCAAATTGACCATCTAGTCTAGCTACCACACCTTTTCATGTGGGAGAATAATTCTCACACTAATCATATGGAGAGGGGATCAGACAGCTTTTTGAGGGTTACTTCCTGTCCCTGGCATATTCTCTTAACCGTTTTTTCTCATCTCACCGGAAGAATGCTGTCATTTGTTGACAATTCCCTGATTTACACAGGCATGTACACTCACAGACACACTTGCATGCACTCTGATCTAGGACATACACCCATGCCAGGGTACTTGCGTACATCTGTGGCTTCTTATCCTCTCTGCCCCTTTGGAGCAGCACCTGGAATGCACGGGGCACAGTTTGATGCTAGGACTCTGACAGTCACAGACAAGGGTGAGCCACAGCTTCCATGGAAATGCCAGTGACACTGAATTGGGCTTTAATTTCCCCATTCAGTCAACCACACTGGTCAGCACTTGAGTTCCAAGACTTGTCTCTCTTCTCTCTCTCTTTCTACATGTGTGCTCTTCTGGTAAATAGATCTCTGGGAGTGTTTGTAGAAAGACTTTTTCAGACCAAAAGTGATGATGTAGAGGTTAGAGCTTAGACATGGGAGAGAGATCATTGTCTGTCACTTGACAAATGACAAACAGATTGGTTCTGAAATAAATGGTGGCAAGGGGGTGCTGATGGTCAGACACTGGACCTAGATGTTCTGCTTGATTCCTCCTGAGTTTGCTTGGTAAACAACTCTGTCTTCTTAGCTTTAAGGTAGGCTTCCCAATTCCCTTTATCCCCTACAACATGGTAACAACTCATGCTTTTTTGTGAGCACTAGAGGATTGTGGCATATATTCTAGTATAACACTAGGCTGGCAATGGTGATGGCTGAACAGGATTAGACTCCAAGCCACCATGAAAAGAAACCTCAAGGGGCTTGAGAGATGGTTGGGTTGATGATGTGTTTGCCTCAAAATTATGAGTTCTATTCCTAGAACCCACTTTTGAGGGTAGGGGGAAGCCAGGCATGATGGTGTTACACTCTTGTAATCTCAGTACTGAGGAAGCAGAAACAGGAGGGTGCCTGGGGCTTGTTGTACAGCCAGACTGTTTAGTATTTGGTGAGTTACAGGGCAATGATAGACCTTGTCTCAAAAGAAAAACATAATGCTTGAGAAACAACATCTGAAGTGGTCCTCTGACCTGTGCACACATGCACATGTACACACAGAGACACATCTGTGAGAGAGAAGGGGAGGGAGGGAGAGAGAGTGAACTCAGTTTTACGACATAAATGAGAATTCTAATGGTAACACGCCCTACTTTAGTTGTTCAGTAAATAAAAGGAATTAAGAAAGATTAAGGGCACTATGACAAGAGTTTGGTAGGGAACCATCACTTAGATTTTAGAGCCACCGTTTCTGATCTTAGCATAGGACTGATGATTTGCTATCGCCAGGTTCCCACAGTCCAGAGAATTAGCCAAGCCCATCCAGGAGCTCTGTTGGAGGTGTGGTGTCTGAGAATTCAAGAACCGGAGCTTTTCCTCTGGATCTGAAAGGCCCGCAGTTCTCACTTGGTGGAAGCTTTTGATGGGAAATGTTTATCGATTTGGAAGAATGGCATTATTCTTCCAAGAAATTGGGCTGCAACTCCTCCTTCACTCTTCCTATTGTTGACTGTTCAAAGCTGGCCTCAGGGGATCCTGCCGGCTCATTACGCTGCAAAGCTCTTGTCTCCCCATTCCAACACAAACCCTCGAGTTCACACAGATAGAACCCGGTGAATTGTACATCTTCATTTTCAGACAGCAAAGCATATTCATTCATTCAAAGACAGTGTCCCGAGCTCTAGTTTAGGCTTTTCCTTATGTCTGGATACTCCATGAGTAGAGGGAAATGTAGAACAGCCATATCTGAGCCTGTCATCAAAGTCTGGCAAACACCCGGCCCAGCCAGTGATATTTGGTAACAGTAACCTATTTGCTGATCTTGGCATCCTATAATTGCTCCTCTCCTGTTCTTTCCCCAAGTCTGTCGAGGATCTTGTTTCCGTAGTTCTCTGTCCCTGGCTACCCAGGATATCTTCAAGTCTTTAGGTAGCTGTGGAGGGGTCGTGAGACATGAACGCGGGTGGAGGGAAGTGTATGGTGGATTTAGGGAGGACTGCTCCTATCCTATCTTATCTCCTGCTCATCTGGGGACAATGTCCAGTCTTTCCTAGGCCTTTCTTCCGGAAGACGCAGGGCTAGCCATGGCAGTGTGTTCCACTTCCGAGCACCCAGTCAAGACGTCTCATTTCCTGATGGCATTACGGATGATGGGGTCTTTCCTGGAGACCAAGAAAGCCGTCGAGGTTCCATATTGCTGGGCAGGACTACTGGACAGGCAGGTCCTCTCCCCAGGAGCCCACTGCCTCAGTCCCCCAACCCTGGCCCTAGACATGGAGAGGAGGGACAGCTCGGAGTGCCCACTGGTGAGCTTACCTCTGGAGCTCTGGACGGCCCGGTGAGTTCACGCATGCTCCATACTCTGACTGACTCTTGCCAATAAGTACTGAATGTCACTAAGGAGGTGGAGGGCATTGTCCATCTGCTCTGCATGCAGGGGTGCAGTAAATCTTCCATTTGACTTGTGTTTATTTCTTGGTGTTTCCATCCCTGCTGGTCATCACTGCTTTGGGATGGTCCCAGATGCTTGTCTGACAAAGACAAGGAAAACAGGGGGCCTTCTATAGAAGCCTATGACTCTGGGGAAACTGTCCCTGAGGTTTGACACAATTCTAAGAGGTTCTCAGGACCTATCTTGGTAGAAGCCTGGTGGCGAAGCATGGTGGCCTTGACTCAATGCACAGAATAAATAACTCATCAAAATGGCACAGACTAGGGACAGGAACTGCCTGGCTTCTGCTCCTTAAGGCAAGCGATATCCACAGTGGGCATCCCTGGGGCAGCTTGCTAAGATGGGCGGTGCAATCTAACTCAGAACCTCCTCATGCATCACTAGTGGTGCTTCTGCATCCTCCGCATGTGTCCACTGGCCGCCAGAGATGCATGTGGAAAGAGGCTTGAAAGCCGCACCATGTGGTTGTTCCACTGACTCAGGATTCCAGGAAGAAGTGATAGCCTGCTTCAGGGAGAAGTGGAGGGAGTAGCAAAGCATTCACAGAGGTGTGGGCTGGGCTTACAGAAACAGGAGCAGTGAGGGCCCCAGAGAGCAGCAACAGGGAGGAGGTGCTGTACGCCCAAGCTGAAAATGTCAGCGAAAGACCCTCCCCCACCCCCAATCGGAACTTGTCAGGATCTGTGGCTGAGGGACCTGTGGTCTCAGGCAGAATCACACTGCTGCCAGCCAAAGGGGACAGAGTACAAATAGCTATCCCCCCAATCTCTCTCTCTCTCTCTCTCTCTCTCTCTCTCTCTCTCTCTCTCTCTCTCTCTCTCTGTGTGTGTGTGCATGTCTATGTCTCTTTGTCTCTCTCTGTCTCTTTCTTTCTGTGTGTCTCTCTCTGTCTCCCTCTGTCTCTCTCTGTATCTCTCTGTATCTTTGTGTCTCTCTGTGTCTTTGTCTCTCTGTGTGTTTGTGTGTATGTCTGTGTCTCTTTGTCTCTGTCTCTTTCTGTGTGTCTCTCTCTCCATCCCTCTGTCTCCATTTGTCTCTCTCTGCCTCTTTCTGTGTGCCTCTGTCTCTCTCTGTGTGCCTCTGTCTCTCTGTCTCTCTCTGTGTTTCTCTGCCCCCCATTTCCTTTCTTGCCATCCTGCTTCCTGTTAGCCAAGCCTGACTAGAGCCATGGAGTGACTATTTTGCTCAAGTTGCCTTCTCTGGACACAGAGCAGGGAAGGCAGATGAAGAGTGTGTCTCTAGGGCAAATGGAATTTCCAACCCAGAGTCCTAAAGTCACAGCCAGGCTGCAGGGCTCTGTGTGAGGTGTCGTAGTGCTATGCACAGGGAGATCTTGCCTCCAGAGTTCTCTCTGAGCCCGATCACAGCAGCCGTCTTAGCTCTTGTGATCCAGCTGAAGACATCGCACGGAGCACATCCAGAGGAAGGAGTCAAAGTCTGTTTATAGTAGGAGAACAGTGAGGCAGAGAGTACACCTTGCAGATTAAGAGCTATCTGAGCCATACAGTGATAGCCAGCATCAGGCCGTAGCAAGTCCTGAGGTGTGTCTCTTCCCCATGTCTACTCCTGGGCAGACTGTGGTGGTTTCCTTTCTGTAATAGGTGGGGACTCTCTTAGAAGCTGTCTATGCCTGACTCACTGTGCTACAATTAGAGGCATTAGATATAAGAATGTGTTTGAAAATGTGAATAGCCATTAAGTCGGAAGATTGTTAGGGGAGGGGGCAAACTTTGGTGTGCTTCTCAGGTTGGGGATCAAGGGGAACAAACCAGAACCTGCTGAGGCCTACTTCACTGTTTTCCTCAGAGCCCTGTCCTTCCTTGCATCTAGTTAGCGTGGCTGCCGCAAACCCCAGCTTATAAGATACTGTGTAATGTGAGGGTAAAAACCCTCTATTCTCATCCCCAGTTCTCCCAACCTTACCCTTTGAACCCTAATGTTTCTTTGTCTGAACCCCAGAAAAATGCCTCGTACAGCATTTTGTCACTGGGACACACCCCTCAGTTTCTTGGATCTGTTCCTGGGACAGTCATGTTCTTGAGTGTTCAACCTTGATTCTTTCAGGTGAAACTCCCCAACTAATGCAAGGTGACTCTTTAAGGCCTTCTGCATCTCAAGAACCTACGTTCAGTTGGCTTTAGCAAGTTCCCTAATTTTCCAAGCCTCTTTACCTCCTATGGGGCTCAACAAGCTCTTTCTTCAAATAAACTCAAGTATTATTGGCTGGGCTCATACCTTCCAACCTGGGCTTTGGTTATATCCTGCCTCTGTGCACTGGTCCTCAAAGCTGAGCTCTCAATCCAAGGTTCAAATATCATTCCTGTTTCTCCAAGCTTTACCTCAGGCTCATGGCTTCACAGTGCTGCTCACCACTATACGAGAACAGCCAATGAGAAGCTAAACAACCTGGCTTTGCTGCCGAAACCCTCACGTTGATCCTGCTTCTGTCCTGGCAGGCACTCGATACTACAGGGCAGAAGAACTTCCTGTCTGCAGACTACCTGAATGAACCTTTCCGAGCACAGAGGGCAATGAGCGTTGTCAGTATTATGACTTCTGTCATTGAAGGTGAGTGTTGCTCATGGAGATGTCTGTCCTCCATGCTGTGGTGAGTCTAAGCTGGGCCAAGGGCCTCTCTCTGTGGCCTGAGATCCTCCATTCCTATGCCTTAGCCCCGCCCCGTCTCCTTTACTAATGTGGTTTTTATGTGCATAAAATTCCCCAAACAAGAAAGACTTCAATGAAGAAGTGCCCTGGTTTACTTCTTATTCAAATTAGCATCTGCTTCATGCGTGCTCATGAACTAGATTCTCAGAAACACGAGACAACATCAGCTGCCTCCCAGGTGTGTGAGGAACGCAAGTCTTTCATTTCCTGGCATGGCAAAGTTATTCCTCGTGTTCTCTGTGGCTATAACTTTCATTCCTGAGACTTTATTTCTGGCTCGAGCTCTTATTGTGCCAGACGTGGGAAGACAACTTAAGGAAATCAGCCAATCCATTCCACCAAATCCTTTTCAATTCTGCCAACCAATCAGGAGCAGACTCAGTCTTCTGAGGGAATGCATCTAGGATCCAGATGAGAGTAGGAGAAACCAGGTGGGACTGGGTCATGGCCCTCTGAACACACAAGTCCCAAGACAGCATGGTTGTGTCCTCCTCTCTGAGTTCAGAGGCTGTTCTAGCTCAGTTTTTACTTCACTACAGGATGGGAAGCATCTTGTCTTTGCAAATCCACCTACCTGCATACCCACTAAAGGCAGCCGGCCCCAGCAGCTCTGGAGGCTGCACTGCACAATTAAAATAGCTTGCATTTTCATTTATTCCTCAGAACTTTTTTTTTTTTTTAAGATTTATCTATTCAAACATCTGTTGGGCATCTGTTAGGCATCTGGCATTGCTCCAGGAGCCTGAGATTCATGGTGAGCATGATATATACCTGCTGTCATGGACTGTGTAGCCTGGAGACAGAGCTGATTAACACAAGTAGATACAGAGACAGTGATGAGGGCTGAGAGGGAAAGCAAAGGAAGGTAATGGGAATGGAGAGTGGGGACTCTGACAGGGCAGTGTGAGACAGGGGATTCTAACAGGACAGTGTAGGACCAGGTGGTAGAGAAAAGGCAGCCTCTCTGGGGTGGCCAGAAATCTGGATGGAGGGGAATCAGCATGTAAAAACCATGAGAGAAAGTTCCTCAGACATAAACACCAAATACAATTTCCTGGGGTAAGACAGAAGCTGGGTATGGTGGTGTGCCCCGCAAACTCCAGAACTAGGAAACAGAAGAAGTGGGTTCTCGATCGGCCAGGGCTAGACCACACGACCTTGACTCAGCAAGAAAGACGGGAGCAAGAGAAATGTGAAGACAAGCACATCGCATTCTAGGAGAAAGTCTTAGAGTGGAGAAGGCTGCAGGACTGAGAACACAGATCTGGAGCCCACGTGCCCCTGTTTGCATCTGGGCTCTGCCGTTTGTAGCAAGGTTATGACTTTGGGGTTCTCCTGGCTTTCTGGGCCTCCATTTTCTCACTGCTGAAATACTGACACTGAGAAATGCCTCACAGGGCTTGTGAGGTTGCGTGACTTAGTAGCATCCACATCAGTTATCACCTTCTGTTGTTCCGGCTTAAAACCCACGAGGGTGGGAGATCTGCCTCCTCTGCTCACACCTGGATCTCGGTACCTAGATAAGCAGCGTGGCACTTAGCAGGCACTAGCAAACAGTTGCTGAGTTCATGGTGAGTGATCATGGGACCCAAAAGAGACATTTGGAGGGTGGAGCTGATTTGTAATGAACTGAACAGCCGAAAAGATAAAATGAGAAATAATCCAACATCTTGAGGTTGGAAGAAGAGTGGGCTTCAGGAGTGATAGGAAAGTTAGGAAACGCCACCAGCTTAGGCCAGAGTTTCTGAGCATAAAGTGGATCCTACTCTCTAGCTGGGTGCTACATCCATTACAGGGTTCATGGTGGGTGCCTCATGCTGTCAGAGTCATGACAGGATTTTCAGGACCACTTCCTTCAGGGCGATTGCACCAGAGAAGGTTTGGCTCAAGCCAATAGGAGCATGACAGTTCACTTAACTCAAGGCCTGCGAGCCATCCAGGCTTGGCACACAAGCTGAGATTTGACAGTCATCTAAACCAGAAGGCCAGACTCAGGCTCACTGCTGTGAACACAGCTGTTACCACACTTAGCAGGAAAGGATGGCATGAGACAAGTTGCTAGTGGGGTGCTGAGTGTCTTGGAGAAATGCAGGATGCTAAGAAAAGTAGAGGGAGTTTTCCCAGAGTCATGGAAGTATCCTAGGCAGACAGATTCTAATGCAGACATTTAAAAGCCTGAGCTATCTGGAACATAGACATCAAGACAATGGGGGTCTCAAAATAAGGCCAGGCGAGCAGTCTGGGGCCAGATCCACAAACCCCCACTAGACTCTAACGGACATTGGGTTTCATCCAAGAGCAGTGGGATGACTGAAGGGCTGGACGCAGGAGAGATATTTGAGGGGGATGGAATTTAAGTGGGGAGGTGCAGGAGAGAATCAGGTGAGAGCTGAGGTGCTAAACACTCAGGGTGGGGCAGGGTGGCCATAGAGACGATAGAGAATAGAGGCTTGCATGGCTTTCTGGGAGTCACAAGATTCAGAACTGCATGACACATACATGGTTCTGGAACAAGCAACTGGAAAGGCGTTGGTACAATGACCAGTGTGAGCACTGTAGGGAGGAGCAAAGGCCTCAGAGGAAAGACACGAGAAGGTGCTCAGGAGCTGGGACATGTTGGATGTGAAGTGCCCTGGAACATCTAATGTCTGGTAAGAAAGTTAGCTTAGTGATAATGGTTCTGAAATCCAGATGAGGAGAGGGACCTACAGCTATATATTCCATAGCACTCTGAAGGCACAGTGGTTTTGAAAAGATGCAAGAAGACGAGGCAACATCAATGACAATTAAGGCAGAGTCTCAGGAAATTAACACACTTCATGGTTGCCCAGAAGAGATGACGCCATTAGAGACAGAAAAAAGAAAAGATAAAGAAATCAGAGAGGACCCGGAAGTGGAGAAGAGACAGGGGTCCAAACTCCTTCAGGGAGAATAGGAAGGTCAGCAGATGCTAAGCTACGGAGATGTCAGGTGATGTGCACTCGGACTTTTAGTCACATGGAAGTTTTCACTCTGCACAGGATCTACGCAGGATCATCAAAGCAAACAGGGAGTTAGCTCAGTGGGTAAAGTACCTGCCTTGCAAGCCTGTGGACCTGACTTCAAATTTCTAACACCCATGCTAAAAAAAAAAAAAAATCAGGCCAGGTGCATGAGCCTGTAACCCAGCATTGGGACCGGAAATAGGGGTCTTCCAGGAGCTCACGGGATAGTTGGTCTAGCCTCGTCAGTGAACTGAGTGTTCAATCAAAGGCCCTGTCACAAGACAAAAACAAGCACACTCACCTGCACTTTCACATGCATGCATCAAATGCACAAAACGACACACATGTGCACTCACACCACTGGTGCACCTGCACAGACATGAATGTACACACATGAAAGAGAAAGAGAAAGAGACAGACACAGAGAGACAGAGATAGACAGACACAGAGAGACAGACAGACAGACAGACACACACACACACACACCAGGATCATCATAGCTGAACAGTAGCAGAGACCATACATGAAGAATAAGAGAGATAAGAAAGAGGTGAGAAGACGGAGATGCTGGTGTGGGTTGCCTTGTCCAGGACTTTTCCTGTGAGCACAGGGAGAGAGAGAGAGAGAGAGAGAGAGAGAGAGAGAGAGAGAGAGAGAGAGAGGTAACAGGACAGTAGGGGCTGAAGGACACCTTTGTGGCTTTTGAGAGCTGGGATGTTTGAGCATATCGACATGGAAGGATCTTGGAGCGTGGGAACAACAGAAAAGGTACAGAAGGACATTAAAGTACATTCTGGAAGCCTGAGGAGAGGGTGCCCAAGTGGAGACTGGAGCTGTTATCTCAAGGGAGGAGGACACTCCTCCTAAGAGGAGGAACAGTCTTTCCAAAGACTGCTGGGAAGGAGGCATGGCCGCGTTCAAGGCTAGCAATAAAGTGCCCACTGTGCAAATACGAGGACCCGAATTCAGATGACCAGACCCCTGTAAAAGCTGGTCACAGCCCTACATGCCTATGACTTCAGTACTGGGGGTGGAGACAGCCACATCCACAGATCTTAGAGGTGAGATCCAGGTTCATGTGTTCACCCTGTCTTAAAAACAAAAAAAAAAAAAGCAAATGAGGAAGGCACTAACATTGGCCTCTGGCTTCTGCAAGCGCGCACACACTCAGACATGTACACGAGCAGAGAGCTGACCCCTTGCCCGTTGTGCCTCACAGACAGGCTGCTTCCTGCAGAACAGTATCTGTAAATGTCCTCATGCGGTACTGGCTCTCAGGCTTCCCCTTGGTGCCAAAACAGGTCCAGGAAAGTCCACTTCCGATCCAAATAGGGATGATTAATTTCGTTCCCAGAACACGCCAACTTCTGTGCAAAACTATGCTCTGCCAGTTTTGACATCTGTAGTTTGAAAAAAAAACTCACAGTGGGTTATTAGCACAGCGTGGAAGTGGAAATAAATAGTCTGGTCTGTGGAAGAGAAACGGACATGTGTACATGAGAATATATGGAAATGCCATGATAAAAACGCCATTCCAATTACTTAGGAAAACCAGATGATCCTATCAAAGCTATTGATACAAACAACCAAAGACGGCGGGGGAGGGAGGAATATGCCAACACACCGATCCTCTGCCAAAGTAAACTGCAAATGCACTAAAAGTCCACGTGAAAAAGAGCCAGGCTATGGAGAAAGAAGAAAATATGGATAGGTGTTTTATTAAAAACCTTTCCGTGTAGGAGGTTTCATATGCAAAATGTGTGCGTAAGGAAACATGGGGGGAAATGCTCGCGTCAGCTGGTGTGTCTATCTCCAAGATGTATGGCACACAGTAGAATTTATAGACAAGCCCAAAGCTATGAAATCACCCTCCATAAGGAGGGCCCCAATTACACATCCAAGCAGAAATATAATGGAGGAGGCTGCAGGGATGACCCTGGGGCTCCAGGGACAGATGGGAAGCTGGACATAAGATTCAGGAGTGGCCTGCATGGAAGGGTTTTGTAGGGCCATGGGGTTCAATAAGATTACCTAGGGGGGAGGTGAATAAATGGACTCAAGAGTGTTGCCCTCACCAACGCCTCAAGCCAGGGGAGGAAGCAAGAGACAAAACCTGAGAACCAGCAGCCGTGGGAGGAGAGAGAAACTAAGGTATCATCCTAGCATGACTCATGAATGCTGTCAGTGCTGTGAGAGGCAGAGCAGGCTTCTGCTGGAATTTTGGGGGCAGGGGTGAGAGCCAGACACCAGGGTCTCCAGAGAAAAGGAAAGAAAAGTGGAAACTACATTTAGGAAGCGTCCAAGGAAGTTTGCTTTAGAAGAGGCAAAGGATGAGCAAGAACATATGGTCCAGAGAGGCAGCTTCTAAAGCTGAGCTACAGTTAAAGCATGCTGACACACTGACATGGGGTGATCGGGGGTGGGGTGGAGAAGGGGCTGCGTAGGTCATAAGGGAGGGGCTTCTACCTACGTCAGAGGGGTGCAGCTCCTCTTCATCCTGAGGACATGAAGGCAGGAGATGGAGAGGGCGTGAAGACCCACTGGAGACCCAGTGGTAGGGAGAAGAAGGATAAGGAAGAGGAAAAGGAGGAAGAGGAGGAGGGGGAGGAGGAAGAGGAGAAGGAGGAAGAGGAGGAAGAGGAGGAGAAGGAGGAGGAAGAGGAGGAGGAAGAGGAGGAGGAAGAGGAGGAGGAAGAGGAGAAGGAGGAGGAGGAAGAGGAGGA